TGAGATGAGCAGCGTTCTGCTGCACACTCAGAGTAAACAGTGTTTACCCCGTGAGTGGCGTCTCCAGTGGCATTAAGGCAGCCGCAGACATCATCTGCACCAGGAGGTGGGGCTATTGAGTGACATTTGGAGTTGGTGTACGACAGTGTGTAATTAAACAGCGGAGACGGAGAGTCCAAGTCCCGCAGGACTCACGTCATCGCTCACTCCGACCGTGTGATGGTGATAGTGCTCTTGAGTGGGCCCTGGTGGTCACCCCCTCCCCCTGCAGCCCTTCACCCCCCCACAGCCCTTCACCCCCCCACAGCCCTCCACTGCTCTCAGGGTAACAGGGGCAGTAATTGTTGGCTGAAGCCCCCATCAACTCCACTCCCAGCCCCCGGATGTTTCCGCCTCTTGAAGAAGAAAAACACATTCTTCGGCAGCAGTACGCCTGATGTATGCCGTTCCCCCCACCTCCCTCCTCTCTTCTCCCTCCCTCCTCTCTCCTCCTTCCTCCCCCTTCCTCCCCCCTGAGTGGAGAAATAGCATCTGAGTGGTGTTATTGATTTTGTGTGGGTGAAAGCAGCAGGAGGGGGGATTGACCGGGGGGGTGGGGGGGCATAGGGATGATGAGTAGACTCTGGAATGTGACTGGTGAGGAATCTGGAATGATGGTGGGAGGGGGGGTGAGGGGGGGGGGCACAACAATAGAGGAGGTTGTTTTGATTATTCATGATTCTTTTTTTTTCTTCCTGACTTTTAATAATCCACTGAAGAAAAGTAAGAGTCGACAGTGCGTCACGACATTTCAACCGTTTTTTTTTTTCACGCTGCAGCCATTAGTAGAAACAACGACGAACGCCGCGCTCACGTGACATACAAGTTTCACATTTAACATTTTCCGCGCTGCGATGCTTCACTCCAAATCATAAATGTCAAAGTGGAGTCGGTTCATCACAGACGTGACGTTTCCTCGGGGGAAAATGTCCACACAACACTTCCTGCTGCTGCGACTGGTAAACGCTGTGATATTTCACCAAATAAGCGGCGGACAGATCCACTCTGCTGCTGCAGATCAATGACCCTCAGCGTGTGAGCGTCTGAATGAGACATCGTTGTGGCCGCCGTCTGAGCACCGTGATTGGACAGAGTAATGGTAACAGAGAAAAGATGACACTATATCCTGGTTTTTACTTTGACTTTGTAATTCCCTGGGCTTCAGGGACACAGTTTTCAAAGATAAATGGGACTTGGTTTATAGGCTGCTGTTTTTGTTTTTTTTTTTACTTCATTCTAAATTTTACTCCCCCTTCAGGCCAGGCCTCACTAATTTTACTATTTGGCAATGAGAAGAAAAGAAAAACATTTTTTCCAGAAGAATCAGATCCAGTATCTGTGTCAACATGGGAGTTTTTTCAAACATCACATTTTTAAATCTGTCTTACCGTCCGTCTGACTTGTTTTTAAACCAGTCTAGCCTAGTTGGCTTTGACACTGTTGGTGTCCACCCCCGGTGTCAAACCCTCACCTCCTCCTCCCTCCGACCAACGCCGGTTCTTTTTAGTGCTAATTTATTCCGTCTCTGTCCCGTTAAATCCCACAGAAGGACGAAAAAGTTAATTTCTTAAGCAGCTCCAGACTGTGAGCGTCTGAATGTTCAATTTATGACATGAGATGATTAAAAAAGGGATGGATAGAGAGAGAAAGAGAGAGAGAGAGAGAGAGAGGAGGTGAACGGATGAAGACCCGACGTGGACAAGGATTCAGAGAATTAAAGACAGGACGCAGCAAACGTGGACACGGAGTGACGTTAAGAATAGGATTTCAACAACACACACACACACACTGGCAGGTTGCGAGTCAGCGGAGGCTTATTTGGAGCAGTTTGTCCTGTGAGGACGTTTGACCGGTCATTAGAGAGAAGCTGATGGGCTAAACAAGCACTGCAGAGGAGCTAATGAAGAGGAAACGGAGGAGGAGGAGGAGGAGGGGGAGGAGGAGGGAGGAGGATTGGAAACAGTGGCAGTTATAGAATAAATGTCAGTGGTCAGTGGTCAGTAGTCGTACGTCAGGTCGTCAACGTCTGCTGCTCTGATGATGCGGTCTTAATTACAGCGACGATGAATTTATCTGAGACGCAAATGACACATCTGGACCTCAGAGAAGTTGATGAGAGTCGAGGGGAGTAAGGGGGGGGTCTGTTGGTGTTTTTGTTTTCAACAAGAGCTGATGTGTGTGTCTGATGTGTGTGTGTCTGTAGCTATACTTGTCTGTGTGGTGTGTGTGTCTGTAGCTATACTTGTCTGGACATTTTTTCGGGGAGAGTCGTCCTGTGGCTGCGGGGACACAGGAACACACTCCTTCGTGGCTCCTGTAGACGCAGCTTTTCAAAAACACCAACAAAACTTAAACAAAATGCTTTTCATCCCAGACATTGTTCAAATTTGTTGCATATATTTCATCAGCAGAAGGAAGAAAAGTAACAACCTTGACAGTGATGAAGCAGTGTCTCTCTCCCTCTCTCGTGCTAGATGCTAACAATGACACGGCTTTGCAGTAAGTGCTGAAATTACTTTCTTTCAAATGCTGAACGATAAACACCGCAGCGAAAAATCGAATCATCGATCGACGGCTTCATTCTCATTTCCAGAGACGTGATTGGTCGGTCAGGAGTTTTCACTGGACTGTTTCTATGAGTGGTGTTTAGACGGTGTATCAGTGTAAACCACGGCCCTCGCTGACCACGCTGTTGTTTGGGACACGCCCAGGTCATGATCTACTTTAATCTCTTTTGGTTTGAATGTGAAATATAACTTTGGTCATTTCTTGAGGCTAGCGAACTTGCTAACAGCTGTAATGCTAACTGAAAACAGCCTTTGCTGCTGGAAACTAAACCACGTCCATTATTTTCTCTGTACGTTTGGACGAAGCTTTGTTTTTCACTCCCAGTGTTTTTCCTCACTTTCAAAAAAATGCCCTTTCATTACCAACTCCTCCGCAGCTCCGCTCTGCCCCCGGGGGCAGGACTCTGCATCATTTACCCTGAGCTCTTCTCCACCTGCATGTAAAGGTGAAGAACAGAACACAGCGCCGTGTTTCTTTAGATAAAAAAAAAGTAGAAACTCCTGGCTCTCCTCCACAGACGACCTGAGGAGCAGAACAAACACCTCCTCTTGCTGTGAATTTCTATCAGTATGAGCAGCTGGAGAGACCAGAGCCCGGCAGAGCGGCGTGTCAAGGCGGTGGGAGAGTGGAGACAAAGGGGTTGCATCTGGTTACAGCAGCGTCTTTTGCCTTAATTGGCTCCACATCAGCCTGTCAGTCTGTTTCTGCTGATACAACGCCGGTCCCTGTAACCCCCCCCCCACTCCCCCACTCCCCCATCCAGTGGGAGAGGAGAGCTGTTGTCAGGACCACACGTAGGAGTGACTGCCTTGGCATGAATACAAAGAGTGAGGTGCAATTTCAAAGAAACTCTGCTGCTACTCTCTCTTCTTCTTTTTCTCCTTTTTTTCCTTTTTTTTGCTGTGAAAGCACCGCAGATACAGGAGGAGGTGGGAGGAGAGAGTGAGGAAGAAAAGAGCCAAGAGGAAGTGACAGGGGTACATTAGGACGAGAGGAAGTGGGGAGGAATATGGGAGAAAAAAAAAGAGGAAAAAGTCAGAGAGCAGAGGAAGGAGTGGAGCGGTTGGGAGGCTGATGGAGGAGGAGGAGGAGGAAGAGGGAGAGGGAGAGGTAATTTGCAAAGAAAAAAGGCTGTCGTAGAAGGAGCCAGAAATGTAGGGCAGGAGTTCCAGTAAGACACAGAGGGATTTGAGGAGAGGGAGAGAGAGAGTGTTGATGAGGAGAACTCCGACACAGCTGCAGTGACGTCCTGATGCCTGATGGGGTCGTTATTGAGCCTCACAGAGACCCTTAACACGCCTGCAGGTCAAGTGTGTATGGTTGACAACGCCACATTTCTGAACTGAGCTCGACAAACAACTTATATAGATTGACAGGGCTGATACTGTATGTTCCCATGATGCTCTCTGTCGATCAGTGATGGACAGGTTCAGTGCTCAGCACCAACTGGAAAAACAATGGAGTGGATCAATACTGAGATGCTGTTAGGAGGAGTCAGAGACAGAGGAGTGTCAGGGAGGAGGTGATGGAGGAGGAAGGAGTTACTGATGCTAATGCTGCTGTTAGAACTCCTTCCTGCTGCAAAATTAAAAATTGGAGCTTAAGAATAAAAGGTGCAGCATAATTCAAGTGCAGAGCTGAAACATATGCACAGTTGGAGAGAGAGAGACAGAGAGAGGTCGACTTTTAACAGCTGTACTCCAGATTACAGGTTTGTGAACGAGACGTTTCCTCAGCAAAAAAACAGACAGAGAGAGAGAGAGAAAACACGGATCTTCTTCCTCTTCCAAACCTCCAGGACTCTCTCCAGGCAGAGAGTCCTGGGTTCCATTCCCAGAGGAACCACACATCTCTGATGGTTCAATATTTCCCTGTTTGTCTGCCTGTATTGATCGCTGTCTGTCTAATTATTGGCAGTGATGTCAGTGTATTTGTCGAGTTTCTGTACTTGTCAGCCATCAAACTGACTGAATCTGACACTGATGTAAAATACATTTAAATCATCATCATCACCATCATCATCACCATCATCCTTCAACCCTGAGGTTTCCTCCCTGCTGTTGTAGTTACATCACGTTGTTGCGCCATCATCAGTTTGTCACCGACGGCTTTTTAACTTTTGCAGGAAAACAATAATAATAAAATGAACAATATTTTTTCCCCGTCAGCCTGAAACTCCCAGTGAGAGGAGACTCGTCTGCCGCGTCACTGCCGTTCTGATCTGTGAGTCTCCACCCAACAATAACACAAAGTTTCATAGGAGACGAAATGAGTCGTGTGACTGATGACGGTGGATTTAATCAAGGCGTCGTCTGGAGCTTTAATGGATTTAATTTTGGATTCTGTTCTCCTCTCACTTAATGGAAGAAACTCCCTGTCTGTAGACGTCGGTCTGTAGACTGATGAGGTCTTCGTGTGTAACAGTGACTGTGACACAACTTCATCTGACGGTGGTTTAACAGAAGCAGAGTTTGTTTGTTTGTTTGTTGGTTCTGTTAGCGTCTTAGCCGCCGCTCTCTCAGAGAGACTTTTAACAGGATTCAGTGCTAATGAAATGAATCACAATGCTAATGTTTGGAGGGAAGCTAATGCTCATTCATTTACTTAATGGACGCACACCTGAGAGGCCGCCGCAGCCAATGGGTGATTAGGAGCACGCACGTGAGAGCAACATTTTTTTTCTTCTCTTTTCTCTAAGGTGACGACTCCTCCGTTCCGCCCCCCCCCCCCCGCCACCCCAGAATCACAACCCCGCGCCTGTAGGGATTCATAAAGACACAAACGATGCACACGCGTGTGCTAACAGCTTCCTGTCAGGGAGATTCTCCCACTGTTTTATCACTTAATGAGGCCTGACCGCTCCGCTCACCGCCGACAGACGATGAATGGAACACGTGAGAGGGTTTTTTTTTTTCTAAGTGCCGGTACAAGAGTGGCATTATGGGAAAGCAGTGCTTTTAAAGTATGTTGTGATATAATTTACAGCACACACCGACGCCGCCCACTGGTCAGGGTTTACGTGGTGTTCCCAGATGGTTGTGTTTTTTGTTTTTTATAGATTTTATCTTTTTTATTGCCTGTTTGCATTTGTGCTGTTGTGATTGGACGCTTGTCAAACCTCTGCGGTTTCATGTTCTCTTTTGTTCTAAATGAACTCTTTGAATCCCTGATTTGAATCGGTTGAAAACTTTGAAAACGTCTGCACGTTGACATGGTTGGTTTGAATGCAGCGTGATTACGACCGTGGCGACTGCGACCAGCAGCTGCAGCTCTTACACTGGGGCGGTGGGTGATCTGAGACGCACCGCTGTCGTTTCCTGCACGGCTGAAATAATCCCTGCCTTTGAGAATTTGTTAAACGCTGCAGCTGAGGAAACGTTCTGAAGCGTCTTTGAAGCTTTGATAAAAGTGAAAAAGGTCGTTTTGTCTCTAATTCAGTTCAATTCAGTTTGACTGAACCCCGTCTGCTGCTCTGAAGACGCTTTTCTGTACGAAGACCACAAACAAAATCCGCCGCTTCACCCGGGGGTTTAGAGCTAAAAGGAGGAATAACGCGCCCTAATGGTGGACTGGGAGACAGGAAGTGGTTGGTCGGGGACTCACAGGCTTTTATTTCTATTTTTTCTTTCTGCTGCCTGGAGCAGAACTGATTCTATATCAGGAGTTCCAGGTTGTAGTGGCTGAGTCTGCTGAGTCATCGTGGAACCTGTTCCTGTGGCTGAGTCTACAGGACAATGTTGGCACTTAGAAGAAAAAGAAAGTTTTTTTTTGTTGCATTGTCCTTGCAAGGATATTTTAAAAAAGTGTTTGAAAAGAGCATTTTAACAACTTGGAGGATGAGGTTTTCTGGTAAACTCTGTGTTTGATAATATGTCAAATGAAGAGAGAGAGAGTTGTTGAGCAAATGGTGCATTTGTTGTATATATATATATATAGACTATATATGTATATACACAGTATATATATATCTAGGCTCATAGAGTAATGTATATATAGACTATGTATATACAGAGTATATATATCTAGGCTCATAGAGTCTGACTGTTTTCTCTTTAGTTTTCTAAAGAGCCGTCGTTTCTCAGCAGCCAGTGACAGAAGCTCTGATGGGATTGGTCAGAAGTGCTTGCAGGGTGGTCGAGGATCCGCATTAGAGAGAAGCTCGGTCTGATCATTATGACCCTCCAAAACTCACAATCCAATACTGAGACTCATTTCACGCTGTGTGCAGCTCCACACCTCCAGCTGTGAGGAGGTGAGAATAGATCCAGGGCCTGCGGCTCTCTTTGACTTCACTTCTTTTCAGCTTTTTCTGTCACTTCTCAGGCAAACAACAAAGTGCAACAACAAGAATGTCCTCCGGGAGAGCGATTACTCTGAAGTCGCCGCGCCTGTCGTCTCCTCTGTATTACAGACGGCGTTTTCACCTCCAGCCGCTCTGCCTCGTGGCCCGTGCCACACGCCGTGCCTGTGCATTTTAAGTTGCGCGCACTGAGTCCGCAGCTAATCACATAATCAGTGTGCGCCACGACCTTTTAACCCCAATTTGTGCTTAGTGGTCTAAAAGTGTAATGGAGTGGACCTCCCTTTATCCAACGTCAGGCCTGCAGCAAACTTAGAAATTAGAAAATAAAAAATCAGCTGACAAAACATTTTGGGGGGAAAAAAATGGCAGGAAATGAGGCTGATCTTCTCTACGTGTTTTCACATCCAACCAAACAACGGTCTTCAGTTTTGGTAACTGTGTGAGTTGGCAGTTTTCCAACAAGAAATACTGCAGACTCACGAAGGGATTCTGAAAATTAAATCCATCATTTAATTTAATTTATTGGCAGAGACTTGTGACCTGACCTGGACTTGTAAAGACTTGTCGTGTCTAACGCTCTCTTACAGCCCACGAAGTACTTGAACATGTGGTCTGATTCTCTGATTTTATTTAATTGCCTTTGGTTTTTGGAGAGTTTTCCAGATTTTCCGTGGACGCTGTCGTCAGTTGTGAGATCCGACGGCTGCGTCATCAAACAGGTGACATCCTTGTTTCCTTTTTGGAAACATTTGCATTTGTCCCGCTGCTCATGTCTGCAGCGTCGCGCTTAGTTTCAGCGCTGGTGAACAATGTGTCATGTGAATTTTTTTTTATTTTCCGGGCCGGTCCTGCAGCGGATACAACCTGAATTAATGTGAAGTCTCCAGCAGAGAGAAGGGCGACGTGAGGGAAAGTCTACGTTTCCAGGGAAAATGCTTACTCCTGTGGAAATGTAATCAGCCGGCTTGTCAGGGAGAGCGCGGGAAGACCAAAGAGGTTTCGACAAATTTCTGTGACAGTGTCTTCTCCAGGCGCAGAATGTGACGGGAAATACATCAAAGTCTGCTCTGTAATTGGTCGTGTTGCCACTGACGACGCCGTACAGGCAACGATTTTATGTCACATCAGCAAAACACCACAAGGAAACACGGGCGCGTCTGCCTTTTTCGTGACTCTCTGTGTGTCAGATTTCTTCCACAACTTTTCCATCGTCGCTCGTTGCCGTACGTTAAAGTCAGAACTTTAACACAACTCTCTTCTTTTGGTCTATTTTTGGCCAAGAAGCTCATTGTTTCAAAAGCTCCTACCTACGTAATTAATGGCCTTGGCATCCAATATGTTTCTAATCTACGTGTGTGTATAGTTGGCTGTGTGTGTGTGTGTGTGTGTGTGTGGTTGTGGGGGGGGGTTGAGGTTGGCTCACAGCGTACAGAAAGGGATTACGCCAAAATACAAATAACAGTATGATCATTCCTCTCTCCCAGCGTGGAGGACAAGCTCATTAATCACGCCTAAAGAGCTGAGTAATGGAGCTGGCCTTCTGAGCCTGAGGAGCTGGAGGAGGAGGAGGAGGAGGAGGAGGAGGTGAAGCAGAGGAAAATGGCTTCTCGGTGCACGGCTTCCTGCTCCTCGCTCTGAGCGGAGCAGAATGTGACAGTGACGCGTCGTCTGTCTCCTGACGTGGCACAGGTGTCATCCATCACTCATATTTTAACCTTCCTTTCCTTCCTTCACAGGTCTCACCCCGGAGACAGACAGACAGACAGGCAGCACCCCCTACAGGCTACAGCTTACCAGGCATCGAAGGGTAAAAGGTTAATAAAGTATTTAGTAATATTTTCAGCTAATGATGCTCGCTTCAAGAAACATCAACTGGCCTCTGATGTGGTGAAGAATGAGCAGATTGTTTTTTTTTAAAATGTGAAGTGAAAATTCAATTCTTCAGTTCAGTCATTTACACCAACTTCTCCACCTCCTTCTCCACCTCCTTGTCCTCCTCCTCCTCCTATTGATAATTGCTCTTTAAGGCCTGCGTTGGACACAGGCTGAAGCTGTTTTTATGTTTTGCAGGCGCTGAATGCTCTTGGTTGAAGTCTAAGACTATGTGCCGACTGGGACCACTGTGCTGTAATGAAGCCCATCTTCTCTTCTCCGCAGACACAACAGAGCATCACAGCCTTCTAACAAGGTCAGTGACTAAAGCGGTGGTTATCAGTCTGTGATGTTGCCTGACAGTCCTCCCCGTTTTTTAAAGTGGTGTTGATACAAAAACACAGCAGCGGAGAAAGACACGGGAAACTCAGAACTCAGTCCACATTAAACCACTGCACAGTCCTTGGCCATAATGGCTTAATTGGGTAGATTTCTGTTTGGGTATCCAGCTGGCTGCCTGCACAGAACAGTCATAATGAAGAGTGAAAAATGGCCGTGTGGCTCGGAGAAAACCAAAAGAAGATGTGGCTGTCAAAGATGAAATATTAAATACGTGGCTCCTCCAGCTGTCACTGAAGCTGCGGCTGGGAGAACGATGCCTCGCAGTGTCTCCACGACGCAGATGCCTTTGTTCTCCTTGGCTCGTGCCTTCCAGCTAAGTGTACCTACATTCTGGGAGTGTATTCTCCAACCCAGATCTGTCTAGAACTGACCCTGTGTCAGTGTGTGCAGTGGAGACTGCCTTTGTAAACGCCTTCTGTCTTCTTGTCTGCAGCTGCACCACGCTTTTTTTCTTTTCAACCTTGACAGCAGCCCTTTCAACAAACACAATCGGCCGTCGCTGACATTTGTTGGGTTTTTTTTTTTTCCTGGGCTGAATTATTTAACACCTGAGTGTTCCGCTCACGCCTCACCCTGGGCCACCTGCAGCTCAAAAACTTTATTTTGTCAAGTAAATATGACATTTGGTCTCAAGAAGTTCTGTAAAGTTCTGGTTCCGGGGGAATTTATATTTGAGAGGATTGATGTGGGACAAAAGACATCCATCCGTCCGTTTGTCTATCCGTCCTTTCATCCAATATCTTTCCGATTGTACAATATATAGATTGTACAATCCAGAGCCTAAAATGATCATTTCTTTCCACAGTCTCTCAGCTGAGAATCCAGTTGAGTTTCTCAGATCTTTTGTGGTCGTCTGAACTGGAGGCTTCAGTTTAAAGATGATCTGGGTTCATGTCCTGATCTGCTGAACTGCTTCCTGTAGATTAAAGGACTCCAGGTTTAAATTTCAATCCTCCACCTGAACAGTGTGTGAAGGCTGGAGCGTCGGAGTCACAGGTTCATTTCCATCCTGCCTGGCATCACGCTCCCCCTGGTGTTTGATAAGGCTGCTCTCGCTGCCGTCTGCACCGTCGAAAAAATCTCCACATTACTTTGTCTCCGCCTGACTCACGGGATCTCACTCAGGGATCTGTATGATTCTGCTGTCGGAGAGGCAATCATGGAGGACCACTTCTCCAGAGAGACCTCCACCTCCTCCTCCTCCTCCTCCTCCTCAAAGAGGAAATACAAAGCCAGATAGTTCTAGAAGAAGAGCAGTCCTTCTCTCTGCTTTGTCTGTCTTTGCCTCCTTCAAGTCTCTCGTCTCGTTCTCTCAGCCTGGACCTTTCATGGTTCTACAGTCTCTCTCATATTCTTCTCCTCTTCTCTCATTCTCTTTGCCTTTACTTTACTTGACCCCACCCCATCCCCCCGTCCTCTCAGTCCTGTGGTTTTTGCTCTCTTATCTCACCACAGTAAAGACCGACCAGTGTTTAATTCCAACATAAATCAAAGCTGATAATCACGTGTGTGGAGATTCAGATGCATAAAGACGGTTCATAAAACGTGGTTTATGGACCTGGCGTGGAGACTTCCTGTTAATATTTCAACAAAAAAAAGACAAAGAAGAACAAAAAAACCTCCTACGGTCTCTGGAATGTTCCCTGTGTTGCAGTGAGTTCAATACTCGTGTGGAAGATAAAGTGGGGGAGTCAAAGGCTGTGCCCGGCAGTGCCTCGGCGTGCCAGCCGGCAGATATCTTAGAAAAATCAATATGGCAGAGAGGTCAGCAGGCAACGATGAAGAAGACAAATGTCCACGTCACGTGGTTTCTCACCAACACCTATCACTCTGCACCACAGGGGGCAGCACTCATGTAGAGGTTTAATAAAAGCTGCAGCATCTCTGGGAACATGGACAGATCATTCTCCAACACACGCCGCTGTAGCAGCTGTTCATGAAGCTGTGGGAGTCAAAGTAGGGGGCGCAGAGCTGTTGCTGGCTGAGGGCAGCTGCCCTGAATGTTTTCTTTATGTTTCCCTCACGAGTGTGACCACCCCTGTGGTCAGGGGCGGTCCTAGGGCCGGGGCCACAGGGGCATCAGTCCCAGCTGAGATCTGATTGGTCGCTTAAAGTGTCCTTGACTTTGTCTTTCGTCGCCTGAATGTCAATAGGTTTTATGCCAAAAGAACAGAAATAAATGGGCAGTTAAGTTATGAATCTGGACTGCTGCTGTCAGAGGGAGGGAATCGATTCTCATCCACAGCTCAGTTTACTGACGCATTACAGACAAATCCTCCGAAAATCAAAAACTACACGGTCACTGAATATTGGCATTTCAGGCAGTGAGGGGGAAAAGATGCTGCTGCTGCTGCTGCTGCTGCTGCTGCTGCTGACGCTGACCTATCAGCCCGACGACTTTTACATTTATTTGAGCTCCACTTGACTCCAACTGCATGAATATAAAACATTTTGGTTCAAATGACAAAATCAAAACAGACGTGACGACTCTGGTCGCAGCTCGATTGTCAGTTTTTATACTTTTTGACATGTATAATTTAGTGGTAAAGGCCAAACAAACACAACGGTCGAATCTGTTTGAGCTTTTTTTATGAAGCCAAATAATGACAAGACTTTAACTATTTTTTAAACCTTGAGGCTGCATGGAGAACTGCAGTTTGATTTGATGAAAACCTTCTACTGAACATCACGTCAGTCACAGCTGCAGCTCTTTTTCAGTATCATCACTGACTGTGGTTAGTACTGGTAATAACCAGAGTAACCAGTGTGGATGTTTTTAGTCATAGTTAGGCCCACGATGGCTTCACTGTCCTACAGAAAAAAAATGTTAAACAGCAGAAATGTGATCCCAGTTTCCCGTGGCAGCCTCAGACGTCTCACTGCAGCGTGACCCAGTATTTTAAAGCTTTTATAAGTGTCTGAATCTCAGGCTTTTCTACTGTTTAATTGACAAGTCGGCGCCGTCTGTTACTGAGTGGAAAATCGCTTTAAAAAGACAAAATCAATAGAAAAACTATTTGAGAAAAGTGAGATTTTTCTGAGCCCCTTCAGTTGTGGCTTCAGTGTGTCATAATACGCTGTGGCTGGGGTCTGCCAGCCAGTAAAAATGGACTGACTGTAAATGGTTTATGTTGAGAGTTTGTAAAACTCAGCACAGTTTCCAGCAGCAGCAGCAGCAGCAGCAGCAGCAGCAGCTACAGTCTGCAATTATATGATTCCAAAGTTGTTTTCCGCACCAGTGCAATTTCTCTTAATGAATAATTGCTCCACCTTCTGTTGCTTTGTCACATGATGAAGTGGCTCTTCAGGAGCTCCACTGTTTCATTTTGCAAAAAGCCATTTTTAAAACCACCTTGGTTTTTTTTCTTTCTTTTTTCTGACACTGGAGAACAATGCAGTGAATGTCAACTGAAAGATTCTTTCTTTCTTTCTTTCTTTCACTCACTGGTTTGAGTCGTGTCACATCGCTCATATATAAATCATCACTCAGCCCGACCCGGTCCCGACGTGGACAGAACCGACTCGTGGGTCGGGATTATATGTAGTACAGGTTGTGCTTGTTGTAGGTTGTCTAAAAAACCACCGTACGAGGGGATTGGTTCTCTTTGACTCGCGGTGATTTCACTCCTCAGAACTCACATCGATTCATTTTATTCTTGGCGTGTTGTGATAAACAGGTGGGAATTGATGTCCNCAATTACGGAGTAAGAATGTAGCCATGGATTTTGCTGGTAGCATAAGCTGTTATTATTAAAGACAAGTGTGATGAATGACTGGAGTGAAGCTCACTCCGTCTTAACTGTGTCGTTAAGTCGGTGCGTTCGGTTCAGCTGGCGGAAGTAAAGATGTGATGTAATTATAATAGATGGGGCGGGGGGGCGGGGGGGGGGTCAGTGATTTGAAGAGTTTCTGGGGTCGAAAGTAAAGATGTTGTGTAAACGTGAGCTGGTTTAAGGAGGAGTAAAACAAAGAGTCGAGTTGTTGACAAAAAATGTGTCGAGATCAAGAAAGTCAAGAGGTCAGAGGTCAGAGGTGATTCTACTGATTTTAGGTGAAGTGATGGAAAGAGTTGAGAATCTGTTTCAAGGCCAGAATTGTGAATCTACGTGGTCGATCTGAGCTGCATGCGAACTTGGTCTTTACACAGAGGTCAAACGTCTGAAACCTGCAGCTGAAGCTTCAGCTCCACAAGCCTCGTAATGAATGCACCATCAGGCGCGCCACTCATTTCCTCCTCTCCATCACTGCCTTCAATATGGCAGAAACACCAGTCCACAGCTGTTTACCTTATGGTCGATGATGCCACTGTATCCCTGGAGGACCGGGGGATGGGACTCTGCCACCGCCACGGGGGCTCCGGTGGGCCGGCGCAGCTGTTCATGCTGTCGGATGTGGGTGTCGTTAGCGTCCCTGGAAGCGACGTTGAACCTTCCGTTGTAGACGAGGAACAAGCTGGCGCACAGGAGAAGCAGGAGAAGCACCGTTACCCCATGGCGCTGACAGAGACACAAACAGATGCTGGTAAATTAGTGCACGTCACGAAGAGAGATGAAGTGTCAGCTGCATCTGTATACAGTAGTCAAAGAACAGAGGAGGAGCAGGAGGAGCAGGAGGAGAACATTATCATTATCACTGTCAACGCTACATTCCATTCCCACAGGAGAGGTGCAGCTCACGCCTCAAAATGACTCACAAAAACTGGATTGATCAAAGTCACTGGAACGTCTGCTTCATTTTTTTAGAAAAATTAATTTAAAATAAAATGAATTTGAAATCCGTTCCTGCTGCCACAGTGGAAGAACCTGAGACGGAGGTCTGATAATCAGCCGCCTGTCAGTGATCGACTCTCACCAGCCTGGACTTCATGCATTTTAATGAGTTAAAAAAAAGAAAAACTTAATTGATTTACAGTAAGAGCCACACCTCAGCTGGGGTCAAAGTTCAGATCAATATATCCTGACCTTGTGTGTGAAGATAATAAATATACATGATAAATAAACCATGATAAGACGCATTTGGTCCAGACTGTGGCACAAAAGTAGTTTAACAACAACAACAAGAAGAAGAAGAAAAATGCCGTGGATTTTCACGGGATAAAACTCAAGTGCATTGATCCGTGGGTAAAGTGACTCCAGCTGCTGCTGTGGTTCGAAGAGTTCAGAGCTCCACGCCCGCTCTTCACGTCCTAATGTCCCCGTCCCACGCACACGCAGCGGCGTAACGGCGGCTGCGAGGAGCGCACTTGTCCGCGGCGTCGGTGCCATTCACCGAGCAGTTCCCTGTGATGGAGCGGCCACTCACCATAGGTGTCTTCATCTTGCTGTGCTCCGTCTTATCGCCGCGGCTCAGTGCGTCTCCCTTCACTCTCTCTCATGGTCCAGAGAGGCGCGTCCTCCTGGCCGCTGCTGCGTCCCCGACGTTCACTCCACTCTCTCTCCCCCCGCACTGTGGCAGCGCCGCCT